ATATATATATATATGTATGTATCTCTTTCTTTATTTATTCATCTATCTATCTATCTATCTATCTATCCGTACATCCATCCATCCCTCGGTCCGTCCATCCATCCATCCATCCATCCATCCATCCATCCATCCATCTATCTAATATCTTTCTACTTGAAAACCCGGATAGCTGCCAGGTTCTGCCAAGCAAGTTCTGATGAGAGGTGGCTGATGGATGTTGTTACCTCAGTTGCGGGTACAGCGCATGCAGCATAAGCATAATAGCAGGTTTCAGCAACCTTCTCGACAAGCGCGTCTTTCCCATCTCTAAAACTGGCGCTTTAAGGCTTAACTCCAATCTTCCTAGTATAGTATATATATATACATATATATATATAGATAGATAGAGTATAGTATAGTATAGTATAGTATAGTATAGTATAGTATATAGTATAGAGTATAGTATAGTATAGTATAGTATAGTATGGTATAGTATGGTACAGTAGAGTACAGTATAGCAAGGCCCAGAGGATTAATTTGGAGCTTGCACGACATGTTGGCAGTTAAGTGTATCGGATCTTTGCTCCTGCGCTCGTGCCACCAGGCTTCGTAGCATCATGTCACTTGCCAGCGTTCGTGCTTGATCGCAACCCGAAGCAAGCACAAGTCCAGTAGAATGAGGTGCAAAGGCTGCACAAGTCCTGCGCTTCTTGGCCGCAGCCCAATGGCCAAGGTTGTGGCTCTAGTCTTCAAGCCACTGCTGGAGCTCACAGCAGCAGTAACATTTTGGCAATCTTTGCGAAATTTCATTGGCCATGACGTACAGCGGAGATTGCTATGACAGCAGCACTACTGCCGCTTCCCAGATTTTGGGAGGTCCTCGTCCGGGCAGCCAGGAGCAAATGCTGCTCATCCTCACTGCCCGTCAGAGCAACGCAGGCCTGAGGAACAAGTCGCAACACATGTCTCGTTTGGCCAAATCGTGAAGTGAAGCTGTGAAGAATGACAAGACCCTGTGCATGAAACAGGACATTTATGCTTAGTCGGCCCCAGATTTTGCAGCTTGAGTCTCCCTTTGCCCGTAGCGATGGTCAGCAAACGCTCCGGGAAGTTATTGCTTCTGGCTGTTGCCATGGCCATGATCTGCCGCCTCAAAGGTCCTCGCAGCTTCTGCGGGGTGCCGCGTGCAGAAGGAAAAAACCGCCGCCTCCTCACGTCCTCGGCCTGGCGCCTGAGGCGTGGCAATGTGGAGTCGGTGCCTGACCCAACTCCAAATCAGAACGTAACCACCATGGACTCGCAAAGCGTTGCGGACTGGCTCGCTTCCCTGGGGCCAGCATACCAGAAATACTTGCCGAAGTTTCAAGAAGAGTCTGTCGACGGCCTTCTACTGATGGAATTGACTGATGTCGACCTTCAGGAAATGGGGATCGCGAAGCTTCACTGCAAGAAGATCCTTGCTCATCGTGCCGACCTTGCGGCGAGAGGGCTCAACAAGACTGTTTGCGACCAGCGCAACTTGGATCGCATGTATGAGTCCTCAGAAGCAAGCGTGAGCAAGGGCTCCTCAGAAATGCTGATGCCTCGGCGGTTTGCCGGGCAAGTCTTGAACGGGATGAGGAGATCAGGAAAGAGCTTTTCCAGGGTAGTTGATGCTACCATGAAGCAGATTGATGCTCTCCTCTGTGACCAGCAAGAGGAAGTCCTTCTCTTAGAAACCGTGGAGGCTATGAACCTTTTCGTTGGACACCGTACGGCCCATGTTGATGCAGGACATGGCCATGGATGTGCCAGGGATGAGGTCCGAGAAGACTTGCAGCAGATAGTTCAAGGAAAGAGGATGGCACGAAGCCGAAGTGCTGTTCTGTATTCCAAGATCAGGAAACTAGCAGCTGCCATAACAAAATATTGCAAAGTTGTGACGAATGGTGCATCAACTGAGAAACTGAAAGTTGAAGCAAAGTCGCAGCTTGACAGGAGCTTTGCTGAAGTGAAGGATGGGATGTTGAATCAGGTCAGAGAAGCATCATGCTGCAACACGGGTTTGCTGGTACGTGCGCGCGATCGGCTTCAGTCTCAGATACCTGGAGGGGCTGCCGTGAGGGCCAATATTGATGCTATGGCAAAGCTCATGAAAGATTCCTCTGCAGCCGCAGAGAACTGCAAACAGATCTACAACTTGGCTGATCCGGAAGTTCAACTCGCACTGGAGGCCAGGTCGGGTGTGCTGAATGACATCATCAAAGCGGAAACTTGGCCGCAAACTTTCTGTGGCGGCAAAACTATATCTTTTTCATTTGCCTTTGACACGTTGTCTCCAGAACTTCTATTCTAATGTTCCTATGAAACCTTACGTGCAAGAGATTTTTTCGTTGTTCAGTTTTCTGAAGAACTTCTATTAGAATGTTTCTATGAAACCTTACGTGCAAGAGCGCGAAGGACTCTTGAAAGCATGGCAGGTGTTGTGTCACGGTTGGCATAGCTTTGGATGGGCAGGATTCGGGTTTATTGCTTCCGACCCCGCTACGAAATCCTACAAAACTTGTCGGAACAATGGTATGGACGGTATCAGGCATCATTTAGAGAGCTGAGAGGCTTAGAACTCGAGGTCTTGGCGCGAGGCGTTGAGTTATGAAACGCAGACTGTTCTAGGGCGCGTGCGGAAGCCAATCTGCGCTTCAAGCGGATGTCAGGACTGTGTGCCTATTCAAACTGTCGGCCCGTAGAAGGAATGGACTCTCCCCTTTGAAAGCAATATTCCATAAGCCTCCAGCGTCAAAGCATTCTCATGACTTGTGCGTTCTAAGGAAGAAGAGGAACTCGGCAGACTTCATGGGCGACGTGACCGGGTGACACAGCAGCTGACAGTGACCAAGAAACAGAGGGCCAAGTACGAGCAGATCTTGACGGAACAAGCAAATGCTACCAAGGACATTCGCGACTGGCACATCAAGAGGTTCTGGAGGTGGTCGTGGAAGGACGAGATGAAGGTCTATCAAGATCAAGTCGAGGAAGACGCTCAGCGAAACAAAAAGGACGCTCAATCTTTCGATGAGACGTGCCTTGAGTTGGAGGAAAAATTATCACAGATTGGCAGCGACATTGAAAAGAAGACCGCTTACATAGCTTCGTTGAAGCGCAAGAACTCTCAGAAGCATTGGCAGACCATTTTGCAGGCTGAAGGCCTTATTGCCCTTGAAGATGAGGTCAAAGAGACGGAGCAAAAGCTGCAGGTCATAAGGGGCCAACTGCTTCAGGCAATGCAGGAGACCGGCGTGGCTGATCCCGTGATGGCGGCCCAAATCATCACCCAGCATGAGAAGTCCAAGATTTTGCTGTCCGAGACCACTGCCAAATCTTCGGAGGTGGCTGTGCGCATGGAGGAACTGCTGTCTCAAGTTGAAGGCTTGGTGCAGCCAGGTCTAAATGACACTGACCTCTTGACTTCTTTGGATACTGAGGACCTCGAGCCACTTTCGGAGGCCATGCATGTCATCAATGACAGGCACGAGGAGCACATGCGGTTCTTGGCAAATCACAAGGCTCAAGTCTTTGGTGAGGTGGTCAATAAGGCTGCAGAGGAGCTTCCTAGCCAGCAGCTGCCTGGCGGAAGTGGAAGTTTTGAGGCACAGGCCGACTGAGCCCCTTATCATGAGTGACTTTAACTGATGGCCCTCTGGCAGTATGGCCTATGGTCTGTGGTACGGACAATTTTGGGCACCTGCTACACGTGGGCAAACAGAGCCCTGCCTGAATCCAGGTGGGTTCGTGATTTGGCGAGAAAACATTTGTGTCAAGAAACGATTCTGCTTGGCTGCGCCAACTGCCTTGGACCAATCCTGTGCCGGCAATCCGCAATGTCTAAGCTTAGTGAGTGCGCCACGGGCAGTCAATTCTACTGCCCTGCTTCTCTCGCACACTTCGGCAGGCCAGACCTCTTGTCAGCGTGGTACTCACGGGCAGCAGTCTTAGCGCGGGACTTCGGACACTCTGACATGATGGGCCTGTAACACGATTAGAAAGTTTAGGCTGTGTACATCTTTTGTCCCTGCTCCGTCTTGACAACTTTGAAGCTCCCTCGAAAGATCTTTGAGGACAACGTGACGCGTTGCAGAGCGGCGCTCAGTCCGGAAGCCAGGCGCTTGGCCGGCTTAGCCTGGTTAGCTGTGTTGGTGGGAAGCAGAGTTATAGTTCCGCGCAGGGGGAGCCCTTTGAAAGGCTTTCAGTCATAGACCGGTTAAACTTGGAGAGGTCACTGAGACCACTGACAGCACCGCCAGCACAGCTCATGAGCTCTTATGTTGGGCTCCCTTAGGGCAAATTTCATGCGTGGGCACTTTGTCGCTTTAAAGAGCATGGCGTCTGACCAGGAGCTCCGCAGAGCAAGAAGGTGGAGCCGCAGCCCCAGCTGCTCAGAAGGTTGCGGATAATGATCCATCATCTTCCTTTCTGATTTCTTGCTTTTCGTCAGTGCGAAGAGTGCATCTAAAGTTGAACTAAAGTGATTTCGGCGTGAGTTTGGGATGTTGACATGCCTGCGCAGCGGGGTTTGAGTGGACCTTCTGCAGGGATAGTGGACATAGCCACATTATGGTGGATCGTGTCTTCAAGCTGTGCTGGGTGAACTGCTCCTCCTGCTGGGGCTTGGACTTCTTTCTCTCGAGCTTCCGAGCCAGCTGATAGCGTGCCAATCTGCAAGGTCCTCGAATGTCGTCGAAAGCAAGCTTTCCCAAAGATTCCCGATCTCAGCATCATGACTTTATAAGATGAGTCCAAGCTGAGGCTGACGTCGACAGTTTCTCAAAGCAACGACATGCGTCCCGACAATGGCCACTGGCGGCTCAGGCCAGGATTCTAGGACAGCATCACGATCACTCGAGCTAGAAGCAGCTAGTACTCTTGAAGGTTGCTTTGCCGCAGGGTCCCGCAACCGCCATCAACAACCTGTTGTCATTCAGCAGATGTTCGGAGTGGTGAAGTCGTTCTTCCCTGGCAAAGGTTGGGGATTCATCGCATGCAGCAGTGCACAAGAACTGCCTGAGGGGTGCCTGCTCATGCTGGGGAGATCAAGTGACAGTCACCTTCAATGAGACTTCGAAAGCTTTTTGGACGTGTGGAACGGTACAAAATCTTGCAAAGGTTATGATTGTCTTACTTGCGAAGCTTTCCCTGGACGGCAGATGTTGTTTCACTGGAGAGATGTTTGGTCGCCGGTGACAGCACCATAATCCTCCTGCTCTTGGACCTGAAATCTTCAGGGAAACTCGGTGCCGACGCAGCCCTAAACCTCAGAGAATCCGGAGCTCTGCGAAGATACTCAACTCAGGATATGTGGCCGGAATCTTGCAGATTGCACGTGTTTGGCCTGCTTGGAATGATACTGAAGTCGGGCCCGGGTTCTCGCTTCCCCCAATTCTTGGCTTCTGTGCAATGTCCAGAAGTGGCTGAGCTTGCGGGCAGTTTCTTCTGCAAGGGCATGCACAAGCCATCTGCCAGGCTGCTAGGCTCTAGACGGGTTAGGGTTTTTTCGGCACCCAGATGCCAGACTCTATGAGATTTCGGCATTATGGTTGAGCATATAAGAAGACTCCGGGTTGTCGTGCATTCGCGTGCAGTCTTTGGCTTGTTGATCCATACCAGCCACTAGAAATCCGCTCGACTGACGTTTCGAGGCAAGCATGTGGGGATGGAGAGTTGATGAGATGAGGGGATTGTTCCATGGTACTGTGTGCGACCGTTAGCTGGATCAAGTTATTCCGGCGTAGAGTTTCTGGCAGACTGGCCAGTTGCGATGGCTTGTCCGCGCCTCAGCCTGGCAACGGACTGGCAGCTTCTGTTTCCAAATATCCGTCGAGCATGTGCAATTCCTCAGTCGAGGTTATCTCCTAATTCGCAGGCGGTTGCAAATGTTGCACATTGGAATCGGCTATTCCCAGGCATGGCATCGCCAATAACCATTCGGCGTCCCGTGTCGCCTGCGAGGGGCCTAAGTAAGCCATGTGTTGCCTCCTTTGCTTCCGACGGCAGATGCAGAAGCTTCTTGCAAGGTGAGCCATGTGCCGATACCCATGGCGGTTCGACAAGCCCCACACACGGCCCACAACATGCACGCGGCGGCTCCAGCTGCACATGCACACCACACAGCGCACACGGTGCACGCACACGGCACGCATCAACAGCAGCAGGCCGGCAACTGGGAAGGGAAGCGGGCCGCGAAGTGCCTTTGCAGCCCGAACAGGCGAATGTGATGCCGATGAAAACGGCACCGGGCTTTGCTGTTGTGGCATGGAGAGTCAATGGAGCCTTCTGAGAAGCGGAAGTGCTGTCCTTCGAGGTGGCTCCGGTGCACTACTCCCCGGCCCAGAGCGCTCGTGCGGCCGCTCAAGGAGTTCGGAGCTTAAGGACAAACCATGGCCGTTTTTGAAGCTTCGTCCGGACATGGGCGCAGAGGTGGTAGGGTTTTGTTGGATACAGTCTCAGCCCAAGGCAGCTTCCACCTCTTTGCCGCAGCCGGGCCCCCTAAGCCGTTTCATGGCAAAAACGGATTTTTGTGTCCCGGGAGCCAAGGCGAAGCCCACATGTGGTCAGCAACAAGAACTTGGGCTCATCTCTCAAATCACACCGGTGCTTGCGCGATAAACAGCTGGGCCGGAGCTGTGTTTGGTGAGGCCATTACATCTTGGGCCGTACCATCGGCTCAGACCCCGGTCGCATCCTGAACTTCCTCAGACCCGTTCTTTGTTCTTGGCAGGTGAGGGTACATTCGGCAAGGTAAAGCTTGGAAGGCTTCTCCCGGAGTTTCATTCACCTCAGCACCACGACAATTCTTTCAGCACAAAGGCTGAATCTCCTGCGCCAGGCATATCCTCACTGGTGAGCGCGTTGCCGTCAAGGTCTTGGAAAAGGACCGCATCCAGGAGGCGTCCCCAGCAACCTAGAGTGCCAGGCGTTTTGCTTTGTCAGACTTCCAGCTGGAATCGCAAGACGTCAGAGCACCCTCGCACGGTGCTCCAAAAAATGTAGAATGTAGAAACGACATGGAACGACCCAACGGGCCAAAGGCGATGGCTTTGTAAACTCAGGCCCAGGGATCGCATGACCGTATATGACCGATTTTGCAGGTAGCCGACATCGAGCGCGTGGCCAGGGAAGTGCAGCTCCTCAAGCTGATCCGGTGCCCTGTTTTGAAACTCTAACTCTGAGGCCAAGCTGCCGATAAGTCGTAGTAACGACCTTGAGTTGGGACCATGCCTTGCTTGGTTTTTGTTGGTGTGGGTGGTTTGGCCGATGGCCCGGAACCTGAGGCACCCACACGTGGTGCAGCTTTTCGAGATCATCGAAACACGCGGTCAGCCGGAGCCCGGCTCCGGTCTCAGAAGGCTCATGGTGTCATCCCCTCGCTGCTTTTTAGGCTTTACCTCATCATGGAGTATGCCTCCGGCGGCGAACTCTTCGACTACATTGTCCAGAACCAACGCGTCCCAGTCTGCGGACTCAGACCTCCAAAGATTTCAGCAAGTCCGCACCCTGTGCGTTCTTCGTAGTACGGCATTGCAGGAGCCTGAAGCTTGCCGCTTTTTCCACCAAATAATCGCAGGGGCAAGCACCTCAGCCCATGCACCTTATCGGAGAGAGTTCAGGCGCCCCAGGGCCGCCTCTGACTCTGCCCCCTCAAAAGGTCGAGCAAATTCACGCGATGAATGTGGTTCATCGCGTCTGGGGGCCCGGCTGGAGCTCTTTTGCATGACATATGTGGCTTTCGCACGGTCTCTATGTGAGGACCTGAAGCCCGAGAATCTGCTTCTGGATGAGCACAGCTCTCAGCTAGCAACATCGGTGTGTCGATGGCGAACGAGCCCACTCGTTCGAGGCACAAGTGCATCAAGATTGTTGATTTTGGGCTCAGCAACGTACGCAGCCTCAGTCGACACTGGTGTCTGCAACAGAGTTTGTAGAGGACGCATGGTCCTAAGACAGAGTTCCAGCATTTACAAGCAGTGCAGCGAGTTAACTGGACTCCACATCTCACTGCGAGCTTTCCCCGTTGCCCAGCGCTTCGACGACAACCAGTTGCTGAGAACTGCGTGCGGCTCTCCCTGTCTCGGGCCGAGCAGATGGACCCAGGGTGCAAATAGCGATCGCGGAGCGATCAGATCGACAGTCGTCCTTTGAAAGTCCAGAAGTCCTTCAAGTGGTGTGGCGGTGTGGCTTGAAGGCTACGCTCCTCCGGAGATGGTCTCGGGACAGAGCTCCAGACCGAGAGTAGAATTTGGCTGCGTAGGAGCTTGGAGCTGTTGCCTGTGTCCTGTCTCTTGATCTCGGGGAGTCTGAGGCTATGTTCCGCAGATGTGCGATCTCTGGAGCTGTGGTGTCATCCTCTTCGCCGCGGCCTCGGTTCTGCATGAGATGTGCTTCCATTCCACGGTCGGCAGACTCACAGGCGATGGTCTGCGGATTCTTGCCCTTCGAGGAGAGCTGGGGGGTATTAAAAGGCTCAGGGGGAACCTTCGATGAAGGGTTTCTTTAATGTTTTTTTCCACTTTTCTACCCTACCCGGCCCTACCCCAAGAGTTCAGCTTCAGAGAGCGAGGACTCCAACACCTCGGCGCTCTACAAGAAGATCCTCGCAGCCAACTACACGGCTCCCTCCTTCATCACCGACTCCGTGAAGGATTCCTCAGCTTCCTTGCAGATGCCCCCGACCTTTGTAGGTTCAGGGCTGCCAACTGTAGGGCTTGAAAGGCCCCGCCAGATTGAACGAAAGTGCAGGAGCTTATCGCAGGGCTCTTGACGGTAGACCCGGCCAAGCGCTTCACCATTGCGGATGCTCGGCCCTCAGAACGGCAGCGTACAGCAGGCTACCAACACAACTGCAAGCATATAGACGGATGTAAAAGCCCGCAAAAGGTGATCCTGCACTACTTTGATATCCACAAGCCAAGCCCGCGTGTTTTGTCGCTCGAAGGTGAGAGCGCACGAGTGGTACCGCCAACTCCCGGAGGACGGAGCGACATGCCTCGGTGCACATCACTACTGACCAACCCCTGTCGCCCACCCTCGCTCGTTTCACGTTGCAGCATGCATCGCAAGAGGCATCCGTCCGTCCACGTGACTTGGTGTCACGTCAGTGCGGCTGAGAGCTTAACGATGCATGCCTGGAGCAAGATGTTTCTGGCATTTCTGGCCGGTCCCAGAACCTTGGCTGTGCCTGTTGATTTTCTTGAGGCCTGGAAGAAGATGTGTTGCAGGAGCTGAAATGCCACGGTGCGGAGCTCACTTCAGAAAGCTCTAACTCAAAATGTCCTGCTGCCGACTCTCACACGCAGAGCTGGCTTGTCGCAGGCTTTCCTCAGGAGTATGCCACAAACTGCCTCCTGAACAACAAGCACAACAGCGTCACAACCACGCCCGGCGCCCGGAGTGCAATGCCATCATTCCCAGACATGAACGGATGCTTCCACTCAAACGGATCACGGCTGCCTTGCATTCAGAACAAGTGTGCAGCGCCAAATCTTCCCATGCAAGACCAAGTGCTGCTCCGTCTTGCTACGACTATGAACAGGATCTTCGCAGCATAGCAGCACACCTACATATGTACATTGACAGACGGGTTCGTGTGAAAGTGTCAGACAACCATGTCCTTACATTGACATGTGGCACATTCACCAATGCACCATTTTCAAGCTGGCCTGAGGTACTATCTGCTCGCGGCCAAGCGGCGCAGGCATTCTCTTTTGCCCCCACTTGCGTCCAGTTGACCACGTACGCTTCGACATATGCTTTTGCAGTAGTACAGGGGTGTAGGTGTGCACGCATGCATGCAGATGGATTGATGGATGGATGGATGGATGGCTGCATGCATGCAAGGATGCACGGATGCATGGATGCAAAGATGCACGGATGCATGGATGGAGGGATGGATGGATGTGTGTATGTCATGTATGTCATGTAATATTTGTCTGTATGTATGTTGATATGTATGTACTCATGTATGGCATGCATGCATGCATGCATGCATGCATGCATGTATGTATGTATGTATGTATGTATGCACGTATGCACATACGTCTCTATGTATGTATATATGTACATATGCACGTACAGCTCTATGTGTGAATGCATGTATGTATGCATGCATGCAAGAATGCATGTAAGTATGTCTGTCTGTATGTATGTATGCATGCATGCAATGGATGGATGGATGGATGGATGGATGGATGGATGGATGGATGTAATTGTTAAGTATGTAACACGTATGTCTGAGTGTCCGTCCGTCCGTCTCTCTATCTGTGTGCACGACATGTTATGTTGTGTTACGTTATGTAGTTGAATAGTGTACCGTCAAATACTACAATGTAATGGAACGGATGGCTAATGGATGGTACTGTAATGTAGTGTAGGTAACCTTTACATCCTCCTGAAGCCCTCAAAGCCCTAAGCCCGAAACATGAACTTAAACTTACATGTATGTATGTAGGGGTTGAGGTACGCCCAGGGGCCAGCGGCAACAATCCGTTGTATTGGTAGCGAGAGTTTTCTAGCATGGGTTGAGGGCTTTAGAGTTAGGGCTTGCAGGCATTATCAAAAGGGCTCTAAAGGGCATGTTGCCCTACGGTGCACGTAGCTACGCCGAAGTGTTCCGCCACGGTCCTGATGGTCGTAGTCGGTAACGACCAGATGCTTAAGCATGAGACTCCATGAGTGTAGCTGCACCGCTGGTGCCGCAAGATTCCGAATCGCTGATTGAAAGGAATTTGTGAATTAGTCCATTCCGTTGGCAGGATGGCAGAGCATCTGCAGCTGAGGGAGTCTGAACGCTTGGGCCTCACATGAACGGCGAAGATTAAAGCATCCAAGGGATCGGCTTCGACCTCCCTACCGTTCTCTTGAGGTGCCCGCGAGGATCGCGACGGGCACTCAGAAGTCTGGCTAATGCGGGTGCTGCGGCGCGACCATCAAAGAGCTGAAGCAAAGTCAGCAGAGAGTTCATGTGTAAAGAGAATCTTTAATAGTAATATAGAATGTCAATACTAATGCTGAATGTGAGCAGTAGTCGTCGTCCTCATCACTCTCGCTGCGAACCGTCGTACGCGATGCGCTCATCAAGAGCGGCGATGAACCGGTGCACTGTTGGCACTCGCTCACTGTGCAAACGGCCTTTAAGCAGTATGACAGTGCACTGGTTGTCGAAGTCGTAGTAGTCGTAGTCGTAGTCTTAGTCGTAGTGGTAGTCGTAGTCGTAGTAGTAGTCGTCGTAGTCGTAGTCGTAGTCGTCGTGGTAGTAGTAGTAGTCGTCGTCGTAGTAGTAGTAGTAGTCGTCGTCGTCGTAGTAGTAGTAGTAGC